CACAGCTACACCTGCCTACTGGATGAATACTCTGTAGTGATAAGAACAGAAGAGAAATATAATGAGAAATGGCATCTGTTGTTAGATCTACATATTTATGAGCATAATATATACATAGTGTATATAAAAGAGAAAAACGTAGATATATATGACATTCATTCATATTATTTTTACCATTGTGTTACACATTTTACTCTAGATTAAATGATAAATTCTCAGAGAAAAAAGTGCTTATTTTGTCATTTAATAATAATCGATATTTGATTAGAGAGATTTCCTAGTTATTTCAACGGGTATTTTCACTCGTTCTAACAGTAGTATCAATTGGATTTTATTATTTATCATCTTTAATTTTGAAATGGCTTGACTCTCCATACATTGTATAAAAAAAAGCTGCATGCTATGGTAAGTTTATAGTTAATATCTTTTTCGTAATAAAGATTAATATATAATTATGAAAGTAGACAATCGAACTTTATCATTACAATTAGAATCCGTGCTGTGAAATGATGCTTGACGTTTAAGTTAGTTTATAGACAAAAATCATTTTTACTGAGATAATTTTCTGTTTAGAAATTCTATGATATTCGTTCTCTTCACATTTCACGGGTGACGATGCGGCTGAAGAGAAGACAGCCACCCACCTAAGCACACACTCTCGAGTTTATATCTTGAATTGTGTGTGCAATGGCAGCCAATTTGATAAATCGTTTATGGCAATCGTTTCTTCAATTAAATCTTTTCAAAAAGTCATCGAGTACTGATCAAACTCTTTCAAAAGAACTAATTTCTACTCGTATATATGTCTGTTTATTACTTGTATCTTTAATTGCAGTTGCAATAATTACTTCATTTATGATTCGAACTATTGAGAAAACTGAAGATGCACCTTCTCGTAAACGATTTTTACAATTAACAAATAGCGATCTAAATACTTTGTATTGTCCATGTTCAAACCATGCTATTACATACAGTACATTTGTTACAACTAAAGTTGATTTTCATCAAGTTTGTTCAAGTGAATTTATTGAACAAACATGGATTGATAAGTTATTTACAAATGAAAATATTTCAATTGAATCTACAGAAGATTTTCGTGTTACTTTGAGTTTCTTTTGGCAAATTATTGCAGGTTTATGTATTGCAAGTCGAAGAAGCTGGGATGATGCTGTAGCAAATTTTAATACATCACGTATTCTTACTCCAGCAGTATCTGTCGAAGAAACTATTCGAAGTCAAGTTCAAACAACATTTAATAGTCAAATCGATTTATCTCAAACAGCACTGGCTCATACTTTACTTGCTATTCGTCTTATGACT